GAAATGAAAAGAAGACAGATAAGTCTCAGGTGTCTAGGTCACCACCTCACTCTCCAAGCCCTCCCTGTAGCTCGTATTCTGAAATCTCCCCAAATAAATTATTTCAGTTTTATTTCACTCGCTTTTCCAGTTAAGGTCATATCTCAACACAACTGAACAATCACACAGTGCCACAAGGCAGGGTGGATGACAGTAATTCTTTCCCCTTCTACAGGGTCTGGATCTCAGCCACAGAGAGGGAGGGCGGACAGGCTTGACATGAGGCTGTTCAGGAGATCACTGATCCTGTTGCTTTTTAAGCCAAACTTCCACCACTTCTCCTGTTTTTGGCTCCTGTTTTGCCCTCATTTCCGGAGATAACTGGTCTTGCCAATTCCTGAGCCTGCGGTGGGAAGTGAGGGGTGCTGCTTTGCGAACCAGACAGATTTTTGTGCTCTCCTAGTGCTGGCTTGGAATTGAGCTCTCTGGGGTCTGCTGAGTCAGCTAACTCTTGCCCATCTGTTTTCTAGCCTCCAGAATGCTGGGGCGGTGGCTGTCTCTTGTCCCTTCCACCTAGCCCTGTTCACACCTGCCAGCACTCTTTACTAGAGTTGTGGGATTTTAAAAAGTCTCTTTAACTAGAAGTTTGCATTCAACTTTTGATTTCTTAATTAATTTTGGAGGTATTATGAAGTGTGTGTTTTTAAAAATTTATTTCAGAGAGGGAGAGAAAACATGCGCACACATGGGAGGGCAGAGAGAGGGAGAGAGAATCTCAAGCAGACTCCCCTCTGAGCACAGAGCCCAAAGCAGGGCTCGATCTCATGACCCCGAGATCATGACTTGAGTCAAAATCAAGAGTTGGATGCTTAACTATCTGAGCCACCCAGGCACCCCAAGAAGTATATATTTTATTTCCACATGTCTAGAACTTCTCTCTCTCACACACACACCCTCATCACTATCATTTTGCTTTTAATTTAGAAATCTTTCTTTCGCACTATAGTCAGTGAATATGTCTCTATAATTTCACTTTTTGAAAAAAATGGAAAACAATGAGTATTTTTTCTTTGTTTATATGTCCTTCAAGGTTAAGAGCATGAATGTTTGCAGCTGCTCTATTTTCTTGTTATTGTGTTATTATGAAATATTTCTCTTTGTTCCCTTTTGTTCTTATCACCTTGAATTCTGTTATTTCTGATATTGATGTTGCTAAATCTGTTCTCTTCTTGCTTGCATTTGCTGGCTTATCCTTTCTCCATTGTTTTGTTTTTTAACCTTTCTGTTTTTTGTTCTTTTTTTTTTTTAAAAGAATTCCTTTTTTTTTTTTTAATTTTATTTATTTATTTGTCAGAGAGAGAGAGAGACCACAAGTAGGCCGAGAGGCAGGCAGAGGCAGAGGGAGAAGCAGGTTCCCTGCCGAGCAAGGAGCCCGATGTGGGACTCGATCCCAGGACGCTGGGATCATGACCTGAGCCGAAGGCAGCCGCTTAACCAACTGAGCCACCCAGGCGTCCCATGTTTTTTGTTCTTTTTTAAAGCCAATCTTCTACTGTCTTTTAAGATGCATATTTAAGGTGCATATGACTAAGTCCCAAGTGTTATGATGACAGCAATGGGAGTACCTATTCCCTGCTATCACATTTGCTTATTTTTCTCTTTTCTACTTACCTTTCCTTCTTGTTTTTTTTTCCTTCCTCCCATTTTCTGTCCACTTGTTGAACTGGCCACATTTAATTTGTTGCATTCTTTTCCCATCTTATGTTTTGATGGTATACTTTTCATTTCTATCTATTCCATTTCTGTTCTAAACCAAGAGACCCACAAGTGCAGGACCCAGATGTCAGATCGCTAGACTAAAAGGGAGTCCTCAAACTGCAGAAATGCACCAGGCTGCTCAACAAAGAGTGTGGCCGGAGGTTCCATGGCTTAAGAAACATTTCCAGCCGAAGCGAAAACCACGAAGATGCAAAAACCTGGAATCTTCTCTTAGGGAAACCACAGGTCTGTCTGCTGACGGGCAGTGGGAGAAGCAGTAGGGACAGGGGCACACTTCTGGGTTCTGTTCCAAAATGTCTGACCTTGTATGGCTGCTTTGCTTCCATCTCTAATTTTCCCATCTCCACACTTGTATGTCCTTGGCTGGCCCTCCTGCTAGTGAGAAGGGGAGAGGGGAAGTATTAGGGCTTTGAGAGAGAATAAGAATATCCAAGAGTTATCCTCAGGTGTTACGTGCTCTGGGCAGCATCAAGGGGAGCTGGACGCCCCTGCTCTCCATAATTCCGTCTGCTAGACAGATGACAGGCTATCTGTCAGGAGGGTGCTTACTGCCTGGGCCTTTCTGTCACTGTAAACAGTGAGCAGGGCACATTTTTCCAGGAACCAGATATTGAGAATTAGTCCATTACATGTCGTTCATGCAATTAAGGGGAAATGTGTGGGCTATTTTGCCAGCAGCCATGTGGGTTTCAGATCATACTGTAGAAGCTAAATGAGTCCAATTTAACCAATGGTCTTCTTGAGATGGGGAATTGTGCAACAGGGCTGCCATCAGGCTTTGTGGGGGAGGGGGAATTATGGGAAGGACTCATGTCCCAGGAGGATTTGGGAGTGTCAGCCAGGCCCAGAGAGACTAAAACAGGGGCGCTGGGCGTGACACTGGCATCTGTTGGGAGACACTGCATCCTTTTGGAAATGAAGAGCTCCTTGGCAATGAATGCCCTGGTTTAGTTTGGATTGGGCCCCATGCTCCTTCTGTGCCCAGGCTGATGACTGGGGATGTGGACGCCACCATTTTGTTAGCTGTCTCCACCAGAAGCCACTGAAGTCTGGAAAAGATGGCAGGTGAGGGAGAGGAGTGTCCAGCTTAGGAAATCCAGGAGACACAGCTTCCTCATGGAGCTGTAGCTGATGGGCGAGGGCCACCTCAGGCTCGCCATGAGGAATGTGCAGGGAAGCCTGCGGCAGGGGTCCACACGTGGCCTGGGCCACCTCCATGTGTTTCTTTTGTCCACTGGGCTTGCCCGGCGTCAACACACAGTTCTCCCAGGAGATGGTGCCATGGGCTGGGCCAGGACAGGATGACAGTAGGGGCCACAAATAGGGCCCCAAGAGAGTTGGGGACCCTGGCAACTCTCCCAGTCATCAGAGTAACATGTCACTAACAGGTCAGCTAGGAAAGCTAGGAGATCATTGAAGGGCCAAGGCTGGTCTTCAACATAAGAATTAAAGGCCAGAAGGAAAATGGGGGTGGGCAAGCCAGAAGTATGGTGCCCAATCTGGGGAGTGGGCTCAGAGGTAGGGCTGGGGAGGTGGGGAGAAAGACAAAGGCAGGGCTGAGGAAGCATGAGGGCACATACTCATGTACTAGGACTTGCAATCAGATATGTATATGTTCTACAATCTGACCCTTAGCACATTTCTGTGACGTAGGGAATAATGTGGGAATAACGTCTCCATTTAGCAGGGATAAAACCAAAAATAAAACAAAAGTAAGCAACTTGTCAGAAGTCATAAAGCTATCGTGCCAGACCTAATTCAGATCAAATGCAGTCCTGCCTGACTCCAAAGTTTCTATTTCTTCTACTTGACCTCTCTGGGGTCATTGCCCTTTTTTAGGAAACCGGGGAGACTGGACAAGATCAGGGATTCCTAAGATTTAGTTCAGATCCAGCTTCATGATTTGTGTCCTACCCACTTCTCCTCTGTACTAGTATTCATGGAAAAGTTTCCCTTAACCAAGATCACACTTGTTATTTATTTATTTTTGATTGTGGTTAAAATCTACATAACATAGAACTTACTGTTTTAGCCGTTTTTAAGTGTATAATCCAGGGGCACTAAGTATCATCACCTTGCTGTGCAAAACTTTTTGATTTTTTAAAATTAATTAATTAATTAATTTTAGAGAGCAAGAGGCAGAGAGCTTGCAAGCATGGCGGGGGGCAGAAGGAGAGAAAGAATCTTGAAGCAGATTCCCTGCTGAGCCTGAAGCCTGACATGGGGCTTGATCCCATGGCCTTGAGATCATGACCTGACCTGAGATCAAGAGCCAGACGCTTACCCAGCTGAGCTACCCAGGTACCCCAACGCTTTTTGATTTTAGCTTAGATATTTTTCATAAGGGAAAACATGATATCACTGTCATGGACCAGTAGCACTTTCCACAAACAGAAGTTAACCGTTAGAATAATAGTGAAGACAGAACATTATGCACTATTGCCCTTGAAGGTTTGGAAGCAAGGCCCGTTCCTTCCCACCCGTGTCTCCAGTTTTTAAGGGAGGATCCCAAATGCCGGAGACAGTTAAACAGATCCTAGCACCCAAATTATGCTTCCCCTTGATATACTCAGAGAAACTGGAAGAGGGGTGGGAAGGTCATCTATCTTCCTACTGTGATGGCCACGTGATTCCAGACTGTGCCAGGTCCCTCCTCCCACTTGCCCATCACTGAGCACCCTCTCTGGCCCCCAGACCCCAGCTCCACATTGCGAGGCCTGCCAAGAAGTGCACAGGTTCCCACCCACCTGACCCCAGACCAGGTGAACCTCCCAGTAGTGGGCAGAACACGGAAGCAGCCATGGAGGGGCAGAGGCATGGGGAACGGGGGTTCCACTGTGAGCCAGATTTCAGCTGGAGGTTGGATTTGTCTTGGGTACCCATGTCCTTGGACAGTGGGAGTAGCAGGAATGTTACCAAGAGGCTGAAAAGAACCCAGGGAGGACTAGTTTCCCTCAGCTGTGCAGAGATGCGGGCTATCAGCATTCTAAGGAGATGTGTTCATTACTCAAGCTGTGCCTTTGCTTTAGTAAAACGAGCTAGGAAACCCAGAACATGGGGGCTGGGAATCAAAACCAGGTTGGAAACCCGGGGGAGGGGCCACCCTTTGTGAAGTCAGTGGGTTGGGGGCTTGAGGAGTGGAGGTTCAGACAGGAGGGTCTCCCTGCCTTCCGCCCTCTCCTTGGCATGGTTAACCTGGGCCCCGCCACGATGCGCCGGGACACGAGGTGTGGGCTTCTCACCTGGGGCTTGGTCTCGTCTTTGTCCTTGTAGTAGAAAAGCTGATCCCCACGCAGCACGAACCAGCGCTGCTGCCAGTTCTTCATGATGCTCCTCTGCCTCTTCAGCCAGCCCTCCTTGAGCACGGGGCCCAGTCTGCGGGGGCAGGGCAGCCGCCCTGGGCTGCGGCTCTGTTCCCCCATCACCAGGCTTTTGGAGCGGGCTGGAAGCCAAAACACACACAGTGAGCATGAAGGACACGTGCCTGTGGCCAGTGCCTGCCCCTGTCCTGGCATCCCCGCTCCCCTATGACCAGGGCATGGGAGCCTAGGCCGGCAGGACAGGATCGCGCTTGGCATACCCGTCCCCCCGTCGGTTCAAAGGGGCACGGGCTGGAACAGCTCACAGCAGCACAGCCTAGGCTTATCCACCGGGGCGAGGGGCACAGCCTGCCTGCCTAGGTGGCTTCTGCTGTGTCTCTAGCTTCCTAGGTTCTTCACCGCCCAGGTTTGTTCATCCATCCATGCACCGTGCACGTGCGCCCACCTCTATCCCCTCACTCTCTAATGCACGCATCTATCCATGACTCCACCCATCCAGCCAGCCATTCTCTTCCCGTGCATTCAATGGTTCATCCGTGTAATCATTTAGCAGCAATTTACTGAGTACGTGTATGTGTTAGCACCGTCCTAGGTGCGAGGGATAAAGCATTAAAATAAGGAACAGATGAAAATCTGGGTCCTCCTGGAGCTCACATTCCACGAGGGCTTCTGTCACTCAGACCCTGAGGGAGCGGGCCCCATCAGTCCCCCTCCCTGGTTTCTGCATGGCACCCCTTCTCTGGAGGCATCGGATTTGAACACCATTGCCCAGAACCCCCAAAGCTACCCTGTTGTTTCGCTGGGATCGTCTTGGCAGACTGGGCCTAGACAGCGAGGCCTCTGATTCAGTGGTTGGCTGTAACGTGTTAGTGGCTCCCTGGCCAGGCAGAGGGGTGTGTCTCTGACCTCAGCATCGCAGAGCGCCCACGAGCCCTCCGGCCCGGCAGGCTTCCTCTGCTCCCAGCTTGACACCGCTGACCGGCACTCTGCTGCGACTGGTACTGCCCTTCGCGGTGATGACTGGGCCCCTACTGCCCCTCCTCTACCCCATCACCTTCCCCTCTCTCCTCTGTCTCAGGAATGGCTCCTCTCCCCTCTCCACCCAGTATCAAGCGTATTGTGGCAGCGGTCTCCAGGAGAGGCCATCCTGCACTTATGAAGGACAGTTCTTCTAAATGTAATTTCACTTGTTCTTAGACCACGGATCCTAACTTCTGGCTGGAATGCACGTTCCCTGAGACCCACAGTTCTGGCATTGTACCTGTGATTCTGTGTGTAAGTGCATGTGCGTAAAGTCCTCCCATCACACTAGTGGCCACAGCTCCTTAAGGCTGGCCTACTGCCCGTGCTGTCCCACTAACCTGCCTGTGCTCTCCCACTAACCTGAACTTTTCTTCCATGCTTCCTCGCTCAACTCCTAGCTTTGGATGCTTAATGAGCTCCTACACATCCTTCAAGCTCCAGCTCAGACACTTCTTCTGCAGAACCTTCCTTCTGAATCTTCTCGGATAGCCCTCCCCTCCCCTACCAGGACACGTGACCCATGGCTGGTCATGATCTGGGGCTGCCTTTCTGCCCCAGCAGACCGGGATGCAGGAGAGAAGGACAGGATGTCTTACCCAGTTCTATGTGTGTGGCCCTCACCACGTGCTGCTCAGGGAGTGATGTAAGTCATGCTTGTCAAACACAACTGGCTATGTAGGCCCGTCTGATCAGCAGGTATGTCTGTGTCTTATCATGCCATTAAATGTGATGGGACAGTCGGCTGCTCTCTGAGGAGATCGTATAGTTTGGTTGTCCCCAGCTTTGCCTCCAGTGACATATGGCCTAAGACACAATCCTGAATCGACCCCTTTTACAGGAGTGAAAAATAAGGAGGTCATTCTGCAGCCCCTGCTCTAGACGGGGTCAGCTCCCTGACAGCTGGGGGATCCGGGGGACACATCATCTTCTCTGCCACCCTGCGCAGCTATGATAGCTCAGACTACGTCCGTCCCTGCCTTCTCCACCTTGTGTCTCTGTTGCCATGCCCTTAGCTGTGGTCAGGCCAGTGCTGAACGTTCCAGACTTATCTTGGCTGTGCTTTGGCCCAGAGAGCAAGCAGCCTGTCTCCAGGCTCAGCCCAATGCACAGAAGGGGGACTGTCGATCCCTGGGGACAGAGGGTCTTTCTCAGAGACTGAGGAGGAGTCAGGAGGCTCCTCATTCCAGGACAGCAGCCCACCTCTGAAGCCCTGCGGCAAGGGCTGAGCTCCACTTGCTCTCACGGGTTGCTCCCTGCCTTTGCTCCCCACCTTTCTGTGGGTCCCGGTGCCCATACGTACAGAGGTGTACTAGACTGAAGTCGACTTTCCTCCTTTATTTCTGTGGCTGTTTACTATCCTTGTGAGTTATCTAAACCTTCCCTCATCCCTGGGTATTTGGAGTCCTTCCAATGGTAGTGATTTAATTAAAGAGACAATGGGGTCCAGTTGAAGAAACACAGGGTCGTGGCCAGCTCTGTGAATTTTCTGCACCTCAGTCTGCTGATGAGCAAGCAGGGTGCATGGGGGATGGGGAGACCTGACCCTGCAGAGCGAGCTGGGGGAGGAGAGATGGCCATGTCTATCAGAGAACTTGGCATGGACATGGTGCTCCTTCATGGGTTACCATGGCAGTGAGGATCCCATTCATGGAAATGGTGAGCAGATGTCTCCATGCGGAACTGTTTTCTGGAGATGGGTTCCCAGGCGGAATCATGGGACAGAAGGCATGGAATTTCCTACAACTTTTAGCTGGTTAGGTGCCATTACACCCTTCCTTCTAAGAATGGCATCCAGATATATTACAACACACAAAATTATACTCCTGTACCACTTGCTTCACAGCCATCGATATGAAATATAATTTGAATATTCTTACCCCATAATTTAATAAGTATAAAATGACAGTTACTGTCTTAGCTCACCCTGTTGTTGGGTTACTTATCAGGGGACATCTTTTTTTTTAATTTTTAGAATTTTTTATAAATATATAATGTATTATTAGCCCCAGAGGTACGGGTCTGTGAATTGCCAGGTTTACACACTTCATAGCACTCACCATAGCACATACCCTCCTTGGGGGACATCTTTGCATGGACTCCTACTCCCAGACTAAAGCTTCTGCCCACTCCCTTTGCCCACTCAACTGACTGCTCCTGGAGGGAAGAGCTGGCTGGGGGTGGGGGAGCAGCTGGAGTCCTTGTAGGTCTCCTAGTCACTTGGACCCACTTCCCCTCTTGAATGAGCCTTAGTAATTCTCTAGAAGTGTCCCTGTAGCGCTAGAAAAGCTGCCCTTCCATTTCCAGGTGCCCACAACACCATGCCCGGGGTCTGTGCTGCATCCCAGCTCTGCTCTGCACTTTAGCTGTTTTGCAGGAAGAAGCACTTGGGCTGAGCTGCTGGCAGGTGGGGGGGGGGTGCTGTGCCCGACAGGACCCGATAGCATCAGGAAGGACCTCTCTGCTCCCAGGACGGTTACCTGCCCCTCCATCTCCTCTCCTGTCTCAAGTTGTGCAGGGTCTGGAGCAGGGCTGGGTTCATCGGATGCTGACCAATTCTCTTCCAGGGCGCAAGGCTATATGGGGCCCTGGGGCTTGGGCACTAGAGTTACTACAACCCCAGTATTCTGGTGGAGTCTGACAGAGGACTGAGGTGGGAGAGGGGACAGGTGTGTCCCTGGCTACTGAGTTCTCTTACCCGGGTCTCAGTTTTTTCATCTCTAAAATGCCTTTCATGGGTGGAGAGTCGGTGGTAAAATGAAGTCAGCCGTGCCTAGGCTTTTGTGCTGGAATGACTTGAGCTTTCTAACATGAGACTTGATGGAAGCTGGGCCCCTGTGGGTGAAGAATTTCTAGAGGGGGTGGCTTGGCTCAGGGCTCCTTTGTCTGTTTGCATATTCTCCTCCTCTTCTTCTTAGGGAATCTGTAAGGGCTGTGTAGGACCTTCCACCCTTCTGAAGATCCTCTGGGGCCTTTAATGAGGGCTCTGGCTTTATAGAATGTTCTAGTGCCACATCTCTGGTTCTATTGTCTTCTATCACAACGGTGCCTGAAACGGTCTCATTTGACAAGAGCATAGCCCTAATGGGACCCAGAATACACCTGCCCTTCCTTCCATATCCCCTAAAACATCTTGAGCAGGGCCTTTACACAGTAGGAACTCAATAAAAATTCAGTGACTCATCAGCGCACCCCAACACTGAGGAATGCGGGGGAGCCCCCGGCCGGGCGCTGGGCCATGTCTCCAGAGACACTTTCTATGCAGGCATGTCTGCCCAGGAAGGCTGAGCTCTCAGAGCACAGAAGGCTGGACACTGAGCCTGGTGGATAGCAGGTGCCCAGCAAGAAATAAATGACTGCCATGTGAGTGATCTGCTGTTCCCATCGTGTTTTCAGCCCTGATCCCCAGGCCCTGGGCACTACCCTCCCGAGGGCTGCAGGCATAGAGGAGGCGGGCAGGGGGCCGGGGGGCTTGTTTCCTGGGGCAATGGGGCTGGGTCTGCCCTGCACTGGTCTCTGAGTGGTTGCAGGCATCCCTGCCCGCCCACCCCAGGCTTGCTCAGAAGAACCAGCTCCCGCAGCCTCGTCCACCAGGGAGCCACTGTTGGCAGATGGTACTTAGCTGCCTGACCTGCCCAGGCTTTTCCCCAGCTGATCAATCACAGGGATACTACCTCTTAGAAGGCCGATTGAGTGTCTTGAAAGGAAAATAATCATTGTTATGATTTATTAATAACCACTGTTCCTGTCCTCAGCATTTCCTTGAGTCAACTCATTCAGCACTTTAAATACTTAGGCGAAGCTTTCAAGTCAAGCAGCCTGGACATTCTGAGGCTCAAGAGCAGAGGCAAGTTTCCTGGGAGGGCCCAGGAGTGGGCCCAGAGCAAGCTCGTGACTGGGGGTGGGGAGGAGGGAGGCCTCCACCCTCCTCCAGGCAGGGCTCTTCTGTTCACATCACAACCATTCACTGATTCATTCGTTCATTCATTCATTCATTCATGCCTTCCAAATCTACAGAACTCCTCCAGGTACAACACAGTACCGTGAGTTTTTGGCATTTCCTGGGAGCCCCTTATGCACTTGAAAACACACTCATGCATGT